TCTCCCACATTCATTATTCCTTCTTAGTCTGGGGTACTACTACGAATACAAATTTAAACAAAATACTTGTGATACAAAAGAAAATATTGCGAAGTATTTGTAACGTGTCATACGATCACCCTAGCGAACCTCTCTTTAAACGTTTAAATTTGATGCCTGTAAATAGATTATATAAATATCGTTTATGCATGACCTATAAATCCGAAGTACAAACAAATCTTCATGCCCTTAGTGAATTGGCGTCTCTCTCGCTAAGAGTAGCAACATATCCTACTCGAAACGGAAATTTGGACGCTCCCTATTTGCAAAACTAACTACGGTGAACAAATGTTAAAGTATTCACTTCCTCGACTGCTTAATTTTTTTGTTACTCACAACATTGACCTTCCGACAACATCTGTAAAAAATCTCCGAGCATTTTTTTCTTTTCCAAATGTGATTGCTTAGTTGTCATGTTTCATAACCTAAATTTTTGCTGAATTGTATAATGCTTTGCTTGCATGAGCTTTGATTTTGTTTGCCTCTTATATAGTCGCACCTTTTTTGTAATATTGTCCTGTTCTTATCTCTGAAATTGTTATCTTTTCTCTTGGTTTTCTTTTTGCATTACTTGTGCCACTGCTGCCACGTGTAAGGAGGGGGGGGGGGGCCGAGGGCCCGTCAAGCTGCATGATGCAGCTTTTTTCCTCGGTCTCCCTCCGTCATTTGTGTTTTGTCGGAAAATAAACATTATTATTATTATTACCTGTCAACGAATTCCGGACCCCCGAGCCACGCTCGCGCGCTCCATTTGCGCGCCGGGCGCCGAGCGCCAGTTCTTACATGTTTTAATGTTTAAAAGGGGAGGCAAATGAAATAACGCGGCCGGCGAGCTCTCTGCCTCTCGCTTCAAAATCGGCTCGCGAGAAGCGAAATGCCTATCGCGCTCGTGGCGTCAAGGGCCTCTGCACGACCAAGGGTTGCGAACAATGCCACTTGGTGGCGTCAACGCGTGACAATCTTACCTGGTAGTAATATCCGAGAACGGTACGCCCTATGGCATATATATATAGCCTGCCCGTAACATCCTTCGTGTCCATGCCGGTATTTTATGAACCGTGAGCGCTCGGCCTCTCCTGTTACTTTCGCACCGCAGAAGTAGGAGCTCGAGGAAACCAAGCACGGTGGTACCGAGCAACCGCGACACCTGCAAGCTATGTGTATGAGGTATTCACTGAATGCCATATGTGAGCGCGTAATGCACGCGGCGAAAGCGCGTACATTCCCCACCAGACCGACTTTTATATGCGTTTCCAATAGACCGATCTCAGCAGTCAGTTTGACTGCGCCACCGCTGCCGCAATGCATCGAGGGTACTTTCGGCACGCGCGACAACCTCACTGGAGCGTGGGAAGCACGAGACAGCACGAGCCCTCTCATGCATTGCCGTTTGCCTCCTGTGAACTAAAGTTATGGCGGCGTGACGCATGCGCCGATCGCTTGGTGAGTTCGGTCGATTTCGCGAGTGGCGCTGGGGCACGAGGCATTCAACGGCATAACTATAATCGACCTCCCAACTACGAGGTATTATTGATAGATCGTTTTATTCTTTTCCTTAAATTAGTTCTCGTGCGTTTACGAGCGGAAGACTAGTGTTTCCAGGGTGCTGACACAAAACAAAGTTTCTGGATAAACGAAAAAACATAGCTAAAATTTAGTTTCCCTACCCCATTAGTATATGGGGTTTATTTTTGTAGTGAACGGCTTGGAGCTCATTTGCGACTGTAGTGGGAGTCCTTGTAGAAGTTCCTTCGCGAAAATAGTTCAAGGGGTGTTACACATTTTAAGGTGAAATTATAAAGTGCGAAATTTTGTTTTGTATTTTAGGCCTGAAAACAGCTTTCGGTTAATGAAATATCTGGATTAAACTAGACTAGTTATGACGGATGACATTGGCTTCGGGACAAACACCCTAGAAAACTTTAAGTTTGTCCGATGTTCTCTGGACTGTCTTAATTAAATATTTAGAGCCATTCCACTCTATGAAGGTGGTTGGTTAGCGGAGCTGTAGAGCACCACCTCAAATGATTCACTAAGAGACACACAAAATCACTTCACCAAATTTTTATTTACAGTATAAATACATCTTTCTGAAGCAGTATAGTGATGATTGCTTTGTGATCACTGTGATATGCACTCATGGGTTCCATTGAAAGTTTGATGAGACTCTTTGCCAAAGGTAAATTTATACATGAACGATGGCACTCGTGATAGGCACGTTGCTCTTCAGGACTCCTAAATATACGTGGCCTCCCCACAGCAACTTCAGGACACAGTGGAATGCCCTGCTCCGCAGCTGCTGCTTTTATTTATGTAAAGCAGTGACGTCGCTCGACTCGAGCGGGTGAAGGCCCATTGTTCTAGGATGTTACTTTCATTTTCACACGTTTCGACGCCTTTTCTTATCAAAATGTATACAAAGGTGACGGGCGTATATGCATTTCCATACAATGGAGCACTTTTACATAAAATTTCTGACATATTGTTGAACACGGACACCAAAAATGCATGGAACTCTATCCATATACAGCTTCGCTATAAAATGTTGGAGCACAAAAGATACGCAACTGCTTAGTTTAATATATCTGCTGGTGTTCTTCTGTATTTCGTTTTGTCGCTTGTTTCCGCAATATTCAATATATGTAGGGTTACTATAATCCTCGGAGTAAAAAACGGGACACACGGGGGAGTGAGGAAGAAAATGAAAAGCAATCCAGCAATTCATATAAACGTGAGCACGCCCTATTGGAAAACCCCAATATAAACAGCGTATTATGGATATTGGTAAACAATACATTTTTATTGTATTGCAATACAATATAGACAGTGTATTGGAAAACATTACATTTATTGTATTGTATTACAATAAGGATTTGTTATGGGATTCCAATATCCATAATGCGCTGAAAATATTGGAATCCAATACCGTATAAACCCTTACTGGATCCCCATGTGTCGTATGGGGATCCAATAAGGGTTTATGATTCCAATATACTCAGCGTATTATGGATATTGGAATCCAATATATTATATTGGCTACCAATAAAACTATAAACGAGTTGGAATATCACGTTCAGCGCAACATTTCTCTGCAACGCAGTCTCTTCTTGTGTGTATTTGAGTGATAAATTAAAAAAAATGTTGTTGTTGTTGTGAAATTGTGAATAAAGAAGCAAAACACTGGGCTTATCCATACCAAATATATTTAACATATTCCTCAACTGGAGGATCTGGCGTTTACTGCAAAAGAAAGTTAATTGTTTAGGACCCTCATTCAAAAACTTGCTGTTTGAAAACAGAATGTGAAATCCTCACCTTTTAATGAAAGCAGCACCTGCTAGCTGTAGCCATATAGAAACTGCAAAATAAAAATTTGTGATTAGTTCGCAACAAGTAGCAATCCTTCACTAAGCCGGATAGATTCAAAATTATGTCTGCGTTTGATTGTGAAAAAATAAGCTTCCATTCCACTGCCATGGATCATTCTGAGCTCCGTCAATTAAGTAAACCTATCGGCTCGTCTGGCTTCACAGTTCCTGCTTTGCACCTAACTAAAGTATCTGGAATGCTCACCTTTGAGGAAAAACAAACTGGTGCTTGCTTGCTTGTAGGCCATGGAAACTGGAAGAGAGATTTGCGATTAGTTGCGTTCAAGTAGCAATTACATTGAGTAGCCCCGTAAAGTACACTAAGTCGAAAAGATTAAAACAATTACATGCGCAGGACATAGATAACCTCTTGCAACATAACTGGGCATACGTCAATGTCGCTTGCGTGTATTACAGAAAAATAAGCTTCAATGCACGAGCCCCCGGTCGTTCCGAGCTCTGTCAATTAAAAATGCTGTACCGGTCGTCTGCCTTCAGTATTCCTGCTTCGGGAATCTGGAATTCTCACCTCTGAGGAGAAGCAAACTGGGACCTGCTGGCTCTTAAGCCTTGGAAACTGTCAGAAAGATTTGCGAATAGCTGCGTCCAAGTACCAATTTCTTTGACCAGCCGCCTACAGCACACTAAGCCAGATAAAATCAAAATTACATGTGCGTGACATAATATGCCTCTTGTGACAAAACTGGGCACATGTTTTGTCGCCTACAGCAACACTGAAGCCAGACAGACAAGCGATACAGCATATTTAATTGACGGAGCTCAGAACGACTGAGGACGCTTTCACTGAAGCTTGTTTTGCTACAATACACGCGTATATTGCAGCAAAACAAGCTTCAGTGAAAGCGTCCCCAGTCGTTCTAAGTTCCGTCAATTAAATATGCCGTACCGCTTGTTTGGCTTAAGTATTGCTGCTTCAGAGCAAGCTAGAAAATCTGCAATCCTCACCTTTGAACGAGAGCGAACTGGCACCTGCTGGCTTGTGGGCCGTGGAAACTGCAAGAAAGATTTTTGATTAGTTACGTACAAGTAACAATTTTTTTCGAGTAGCTGCCTACAGCACATTCAAATTACATGCACGGGACATAGATGCCTCATGCGACGGACCCCCTTCATCCTTGTTTTCCATTAACTCTGCTCACCTTCACCACCCGCCTCCAATTTCTGCGCTACTTCTTTAATCTCGATTCCCTGGCTCCCAAAGGCCATGCCATGGCTTGTGCCAGTCACAGGTGTGTCAGCTCTGCAACTGGCGCCATTGTGGCAAAGACGCCAAAGCACCTGGCGCTTGATGTGCTCTTTTAATATTTTGAGCATTGCTGAAAACAGGTGGATGGGTATCTGGTATGCCCTTTGATTAGTTGCGGATCGTTTCAAATCAGAGGGTAGGCGCTTCTGCGATCTGAGCGCATGCTCGGTATTTAACAATAGTTGAAATTGAACTCTGCAGGAATCTTCAATCATAACAAACAGAATGTGCATGCCAAAAGGCTTAGCAATTGAAACACTCACCATCTATCTATTTTCGTTTCTTGTCCGCAAGAAGCTGTCGTATATGTAGCCTCCCTTGCTTAAGCCGCTCCTCCCTAGTGTCCCGGTTGGGTCTCGTCCTGATGAATCGTCGGTGGAGACCTGAGGTGCAGTCAACATCAGATTAGACCTTTTGAGACAGAACCATATACTTGCTGGGAGGAAGTACACCCAAACGAATTTTAGCCATGTCATTCATAGGGAGTTTTAAAATGAAAGGCCTGACGTAAAATGAGACGTCAATACTGACGCACCCCTTTTGCGAACCTAAAATTTTGAAGGCCTTGTCCCCCTCGCTAGGGCGACAAGGCACATGAATCCCGGCATGTGGATGAAATTTTTACCTTAAGATCCTGACTCAATGCCCATCCCCGAATATTCGACCACCACACTTTTAGAAAAAGATAACTTTTTAGAAAACACCAAGTCATCGACTACCCCTACAAAAGTCTGAACCAAGCCTACTCGTACCGTGGCTTGTTTGCTCCGTGCCGCCCCCGAGTTAATTCGGGCTGACAATGTTTCTTTTTTCAAATGGAACGCACATTCTTAGTTTCGGTTTCACTTCTAGAGGCAGGTGGATACTTTTGTAAAGCTTCCTCCCTATGCGCTTCCGAGTCAACATTTTTGCAATGGCCAACCCCCGGGGTTTGATTTTTGCGCTCCTTGACAAATGCTGAAACTCATATAGCAGTGATGTGATTGGCCTAAGCCATTTTGAAGCGCCTTTTGGAGCAGCCAAAACAGTGTTTTGGAGCAGAAAAAGTAGATTTTAAAGCAGATATTCTAATAAAAATAAAAATATTTGTCTTAAATGCTGGACACGCGAAGAGAATCTTGCTCGCCGAAATAAAACAATTATGGTCAAGTTCGGCCACCTGGGAGTCTTTCAAGATGTAACTGAAATTCCAATGACATGACAGATTTCTTTTTGTTTTTTGAAACATTCTGCAAGGATGGAGCAAGCTTTGCTTTAGCTTAGGGTAGTAATGAATGTCCAATTTCAATTCCAAAGAGGCATTGCGACATCCCACAAGTGTACAGTGCTGTAGGCGTTGCCAAGCAATTCCGAAAAACCGCTTGCCACCGTTTTACTGATTGCCGACGTGCCAGATTATCGTCAAAAGTAATTAAATGTAAAACAATGAATTGCAAGCGTCCAGGCTGGTGCCTCTGTCGTGCAATTATGTTCGCATGCACGTGAGGGCAACTCCGGCAGGCTTGCAGGGTGCACGTGCTTTGTCGCGCGAGCGAAACGGCTGTTCGATCGAAACTGACACCATGCCTTTCTGCTCCGTCGCCAACTGGTTGCCAAAAGTCTATGCAAAATGTAACTGCCCAGCATGCGACAAAAAAGAGTCCAGCGCCGCGTGCTTGCAAGGCCGGCAGGCGAGGTACAAGCTAAACACAGAAAAAAAAGAACCTGATCGCATTGATGCAAGACATCGCGAGCCAGGGTCGCTTTGTGCAACGACTGAACTCGAGACAAATAAGCGCACTCTGCGGGTTCAGCGTGCAGACATTCCCTTCTTTGCTTTAGCTCACTTCAACTTTTCTTCGCGACACATTTTTTCACGTACCGGGGTCCCTCTCGAAAGAAAGCCCACCAAGAGAAACCTACGTAATCAATACTTCGACACAGCAGTCTTTGAGTTAGAGAGGAATTTTTGTAGCAGCATATGTTTTAAACAAGAATGTGAATGTTGATGAACATGCGGCGGTCCTTATGTTTCAGTTTAGGAAGCTCCATATCTGCAACGCCGTGTGGCCGTTGATTTCAGGAGAGAGAGCTTCAGCTCAAAAAGTAACTCCCGCCGCGCCGAAACATAGTTTCGTTTCACAGCGTCACGTCATGGCTGGTACCCAGCACGCTAGCGTCGACGGCATGGCGGAAAAAACCATGCAAAAAACTATGGACGATTGATGCAGGGTATTTTGTGTCGGGCGGCCGTTTGCGCCGCCTAGCTCATGCATGCTCAGTTACGGTACTTAGTTTAGTCTCAGTTCTGAAAGGCGACCAAAATTGGCCCTTTAACGCAGGCTTGGCGCAGATTACCCATATTTTGGCAAAATGTAGCAGGATGTAGCAGGGTTAGCCCCTTGGCGCAGTTTGGCACTATTGGCGCAGCCATCACATCACTGATATAGGCAGGCAATAGCTCACCTTGAAAATACTTGCTCTTGGTGGCCGAGAACAAACTCGTGTTCCTGATTGGCAGCCATGTGCAGCGAAGAATACCTCCACATATCCTGAAGAACCCAGTCTCAGTCTAATACAGATTCTTTGGCAGGACAGAGACACAAAAGCCTGACACAAGACCACTATAAAGACAGGAAATAGAGTGTCTGTCAGGAATAAAACACACAACTCAGATAGGCATCAATCACTCACCTTGAAAACACTTGCGATGAGCGGCAAAGAGCAAACTTCTGGCCTTGATTGGCTGGGGCTTGCCACCAAGACCTGCATGTATAAGAAAGAACCCAATCGTAGTCAAACTTGGGTGTTTTTGCAGAAGAGACACAACAAAATACCAATGCAAGACCACAACACACAGGAAACAGCATCCAAGAGGAATGCAACACAAAACTCATATAGGCGGGTAATAGCTCACCTTGAAAATACTTGCTCTTGGTAGCCGAAAACAAACTCATGTTCCTGATTGGCAGCCATTTGCTGCGAAGAATACCTGCACATATCCAAAAAAAGAAACCAGTCTGAGTCTAACACAGATGCTTTGGCCGGACAGACACAAAAGTCTGATACAAACCACAAAAAGCAGGAAATAGTGTCTGCGAGAGATGAAAACAGACCCAGGTGGAGAGGCTGGTTCTGTTTCACCTTAGTCAAATAGTGTAGCTCATTTTGCTAAAACAATGCATATTTGCTAAAAAATGTATAATATATATTTTGCCCCATTTAGCAGAGTTTACTGCCAAGGGTACCTGTACACCAGAATAAGTCAGACTTAGTTTTTTTTTTCTTTTGATGAGCGACAACAGAATCCTAAACAGGTGATGAAACAAAATATAAGCCTACCAAGCCAGGCTAGTTTGCCTTGATGCAAGTACAGCGCCTCGGCCAAAAAATGAGGTTCTATTCTTGGTCACTTGTCATATTTGGTGGGAATAGTAAAGTAAATGAAAATAAGGCTATCTCTCTTGCAGCCGACAGCTACAAACGAAATTCATATACCTCGATAACCGACCTAAAAATAAAATTGGGTGGTGGCGAAGTAATTTATGGTGTCAAATTTCAAATTTACAGATTGTGTAGTTCTGGTTTAAGTCCTCCTGGTGTATATTTTTATCCTTATTGATTATATTTAAATTTATTATTATTTTTTAAGGCACTAGCACATCATTTATACGCTAATTCACCTTTAGAAGTGTTTTAAGAATACTCCACAGCTTCCTAGTGCTCGTAATAAATTCTCAATAAAAGCGGCTTTCAATTTTTTTCTTGCTCTCGCTGCTGCTTGCTTCCTCACCCTTAAAATGCTGACAACTCGACACAAAAGTAATAAAAAAATGTGCTTCAAATGTGATGAAGATGAGCATTTCCAAGTTGTACCCTTGCTTCATGCCCTGACCAAGCTACCATACCGTAGCTGAGTGCAGCGACGAATGGTCCCAGGTGCTGTGACCCGACCGTATATAGCCTTACAGTGGCGCGACTCATGCAGCCCCTATGCTTGATGATGGAGCCAGTGTGCGAGGTGCGACCTGCTTGAGCTGTGCAAGCCACAGCTTTACAGCCTGCAAAGGGTGGGAAGATGCCCCTCCCTTTGCAGAGCTTGCAATAGCTCAACAAGAAGCTATTGCAAGCACTAGGGAGCCAGTGTGTGAATAAAAGCACTTCTGGATGTGAATTAGTGTGTAAATTATGAGTCTATACGTTAAAACTTAAAAAAAAAAGTATTTATAAATATAAAATATATATATATACTGTAAACGACTAAATTTTCGAGAGGACCTAATTTTCGCCGATTTTGCGAATCGCCTACAAACGCGAAAAATATGTCCCGCGAACAACTCGGGCAATATGTGAACACTACGGAAGCTACGCTCGATTCGCGAAAATTATAACCCGCGAATAATTTCATATTTTCAGCTTTGGCCCGATTTGCAAAAATTTGAGCCCGCGAAAATTAAGTCGTTAAGAGTATACTAAAAAAAAGGCAAAAAGAAACGTCTCCAGGTGGGTTTGAACCCAGAGCTCCACTGCCCTCGATTTCAGTTCCCTAAGGCCCGCTTCAGACGGGGCAACCTTTCTAGCAATTTTCAGGTTGATGGTGGGTTGTTCCCTAGGTTTTCCCAGATCAGCACGAATTTCTGAGATCAGGTTCGGCTCAAAGCAGACAAGCAACTCGAACAAACTGGAGAAATTTGAAGCGGCAGCAGCCAATAAGGGACGCAATATTTTCACGTGACACCCCTGTGGTGGTGAGGATGACAGCTGAAGACTTGGTCCTGGTTTGAAATGGATCGTTTTTGGAAATAAACTTTTTTCAGAAACATGAGTGAGTATTCTCAACGGCACTCAAAGATATAAAAACATGTTTTTAGCACGTAGTTGTGCGTCTATATAGTGCAAGAAAAATAAAATTTCATGATGATGATGGCAAGTCGTAGCAATTCGGTTGCAGCTTGTGAACGCAGGCGGCCCGTGTTACTGGTGTTGCGACGTTAAGTTGCTGGGGGAAATTGCCCCGTCTGAAGTGGGCCTTAGGCTCGCTTCCACCGTTCATGCTCAGCGAGCAAGTCCGCTTCAACCGTTCACACCTCAAGGCAAGCTGGACAGCTACAAGCCACCTAGATGTCTACCGCCGCATCCCTGGCCAGGTCGTGACGCGACATAACTTATTAAAAGTCTTGCTGTCACTGCAACGACCGGCCAGAGTGAAGTCGATAAAGAATCACATAAATCATTTCGTAGCTTTCTTGGAACGACCCCCCTCAAGGGAGAGTCGTCCCTCTGCCCTTCGTCGATTGATGGACTGACGCGAAGCAACTAGCCGTCTTGGCCCAGCAGTTACAAATCATAGTGCTCATTAACTCGCCTGCCAGCGTTCCCGGTGCCAACCGCAATTTCCGCCAGTTTAGTAGTAGATTAGTAGTAGATTGGGGTTTTGTGGCGCAAAAGCAACTAAGGCTATGATGCGCCAAGAAGTGATACTATTGCAGAAGAGGGTTTTGAAGAAAAAAGAGCTTTAGTAGCTGGTAATTTCAAAAATGTATAAAATAGGACTAGGACCTTATATTATATATAATGCTACAATTTGTGTAAAATATCAATACTTTTTAAAAACTTAAAAACCTGGGTGGGTGGGAGTAGTGGCTCATTTCCAAGCAGCACACATAGGTGTAGAGGAATATGCTCTTTGTAGAGCTGGGAGAAGTAATGGCGGCGTTTATCATCATGCGCAGGGCATTCGAGAAGGATATGCAAGACACTCAAAGGTTGTTGGCAATGCTCACATTCCGGAGGGTCCTCCCCACGCAAAAGGTGTCCATGCGTCAGCCGCGTGTGCCCAATGCGTAGGCGACAGAGGACTACCTCATAGAACCTGTCTCTGTGCCTAGCACTCTCCCATTCACCAAGAAAAGGCTTAACCATGTGCAGCTTGTTGGACACCTGTAGGCTCCATTCTGTTTGCCATTGAGCTTTAAGATGACATTTGACTAGGGCACAGTAATCTCTAAATGGGATACCACTAATGTCCACAGTACGAGTGCCACAAGTGCCCGCAGCACAATCTACCTCTTCATTCCCTGGGATTCCGACATGGCTCGGCACCCAGCAGAATAGAACATCACATCCCTTCCTGGTAGCTGCTACTATTTTGCTTTGTAATAAAACAATGAGTGCATTCTTTGGGGTTTCAAGTGAAATCAGAGCCCGTAACGCACTCAACGAATCTGTATATACAACTGACCGGGAGTTACGTGTTTGGATGATGTGATCTATTGCAAGCAGAAGGCCGCACAGTTCAGCAGTGAAAACTGTCGCGAACGAATTTAGCCTACGAGCACTTCTTACTGATGGGCCGATCATGGCACAGCCAACAAATGATTCCGTTTTTGTGCCGTCTGTGTAATAGTGTGAATGAGAATCATGCTGCTTCTGGAGTTCGTAAAATTCTTGTCGCATGACCTCGGATGGGGTATCCTTTTTATTAAACTTTGTTAGTGACAAATCGCAACGTATGCAGCTGAAATCCCATGGTGCCACCGTTTTTGGAACTGCGGCAACTGAAAGCTTACTGTCTATCCCAACTGACTCTGCCACATTCCTATTTCTCATCGCGAATGGAGGGATAATGCTAGGCTTGTTTTCGAATGTCCTTTGATATTTCGTGCCCTCCACTGCCTCCCGGGCTGGATGCTGAGCGACTGATCGTATTCTTAATGAATACATAAATCCTAAGAAGAATCGGCGTCTGTCAAGGGACATCTCATTTCCCTCAGCGTAGAGACTGAGCACAGGCGACGTTCTGAAGGCACCTATTGCCAAGCGAAGTCCCTGATGATGGATGGGATCAAGTGCCTTAAGAGCTGATGGCCTAGCAGATCCGTATACAAAGCTGCCATAGTCCAGGCGTGAGCGGATTACCGAGCGATAGATTCGCAAAAGACATAGACGGTCAGAGCCCCATGTTTTGTGGGACAAGACTTTAAGGAGGTTCAGTGATTTCTGGCATTTTAACTTCAGACTTTTTATATGAGGCACAAACGAAAGCTTACGGTCGAAAGTGAGGCCCAGAAACTTGTGATCTACTTTCACCGGGATAGGGGTCTGTCGCATATATAGAGAAGGAACCGCAGGGACTCCCCGTATACGGGAGTAACAGACAGTAACCGTCTTTTCCGGAGAGAAACTAAAGCCGTTTTCATCCGCCCACTTTAGGAGATTGTTGATGGCAACTTGAAGCCTCCGTTCACAAATAGAAAGATTGCACGATGAAACCGAGATTTGAAGGTCATCAACATAGAGTGAGTATTGCACAGAGGAAGGTAGGGAACGGGCTATTGAGTTCATCTTTACCAAAAAGAGAGTGACGCTGAGGACTCCCCCTTGAGGGACCCCAGTCTCCTGGACGAATTCTTTAGAGAAAGATGCTCCTAGCTTCACCAAAAAGGTTCGATTAGAAAGGTAGCTATTGATGGTAGCAAGCATCCTACCTCGTATCCCAACTTCATGCAAATCACGGAGGATTCCATGGCGCCATGCTGTGTCATATGCCTTCTCCATATCAAAAAACACTGACACGCACAACTGTCTGTTCACGTAAGCTTCACGAATTACGGTCTCAAGACGAACCAAATGGTCAACTGTAGAACGATAGGAACGAAACCCACATTGATTCCTATCCAATATGTTCTTTTTTTCTAAATAGTGCATAAGTCTTTTGTTCACAATACGCTCAAAAGTCTTGCTCAAACAACTAGTAAGG